GATCCATTGAAGTATATACAGTATATACAGTACATATATATATATATATATGTACTGTATATATTCTTGTTTAGACGTCAGACGTCAAATGATCTTTGTAAAATCTCTCCAGTTTGTGCTTCGTGTTGGAAGCACAAGAGGATAAAGGAGACTCACTGTGTGGCAACTGGTTTTATTGGTTTACCTGCCAGGTGTAATGGTCACCAGCAGGGTGGGGCAGTAACAGGCCTGTGGGCCAGGCCTACTGGGGAGTGCATGGGACCGGCTCCGACAGCTGATGGTGGAGCTACAGCGGACCTCTTCAGTGAGATCAGCTTGATGGAGCTTCAGAAGCTCCAACAGCAGCTGGTGACGGTGAGCTTCTCATCAACATGAATTAAAATCAACTTTTATCATTTGACTCAACTTGTTTTTTCCAAACTGGTATTTTATCTGATTATGTACGTGATGCTGACAGGCACACACAGACAGGCGACATGAAACGTGTTGCCATGCAGCTGTGTTGCTGTTGCTCAATGTTCCTCCATCTTCAGGTTGAACACGAGAAAGCAGCTCTGAGGAGCAGCCTGCACGAGTCCCAGACTCAGCTTCAACACACACAAGGAGCCTTAGTGGAGCAGCACGAGGTGACTCGTCGACTCAGCCAGAAGGTTACAGCTCTCTGTTGCTCACACCTGGAGGCCCACACCTCGGTCATCCCATCATCAAACTCTGAATCCCTGATGGAGCTGGACAGGGAGGAGGAGGAGGAGGCCAAAGACGGGGCAGAAAGTGAAGAGAAGAGTAAACCTCCAGTCTTCTCGTACCAGACTCCTGGTCTGGAGATCCTGCAGTGCAAGTATCGTGTTGCTGTGACGGAGGTGGTGGAGCTGAAAGCAGAGCTGAAGGCCACGAGAGAGAAGCTGGCCCAGCGGCATGAGGGAACCTCTGAGGAGAAACCAGGAAGAGTCACTCAGCTCCAGAAGCTCCAGGGGCAGAAGAGCTGCCGAGAAAGACACGAAAAGGTACTGGTGCTGTACTGGTGCTGTACTGGTTGTCTGCTTAAAGCATAGTCTGACTGAATGGGCTGATTTTATTTGATGCCTAATTCTGACTTACCACAATTTTTACAATAAACAAAAACATGCAACATAAAATAAGTGAAGGTGTAAATAAATAAATAAATAAATAAACAAATAAATAAATAAATAAACAAATAAATAAACAAATAAATAAATAAATAAATGTCCACTAGAGTTTGGCAAACTCAAGTTAAGATTTAATCTGCATTGCTTCATCAGAATCTGTCTTAGACTGGTGGAAAACTCAGGCAACAGTTGTTGTATGCTCCAAGTGTCATGAACTTTTGCTCATTGAAAAATGAAACATGAGGAACTGTGTTAACTTCCTGTTTAATGAAACATGA